CAGAAGCTGGTCGAGGCCAGTTCTTGACTGCCTTTATCTTCTTCGGGTCTACCTGAATACCCTCCGTGGATACAACATGACCTAGAAATCCCACCGAGCTCAACCAAAACTCACACTTGGAGAACTTGGCATACAACTGGCTATCCTTCAGAGTCTGAAGAACCACTCTGAGGTGCTTCTCATGCTCCTCCCAACTGTAGGAGTATATAAGAATATCGTCAATGAAGGCTATCACGAATAAGACCAAATAGGGTCAGAACACTCGGTTTATCAACTCCATGAACACTGCTGGGACATTAGTCAGCCCAAATGACATAAACAAAAACTCGTAGTGCCCATAGCGAGTACGAAATGCCATCTTAGGGACATCAGACGCCCTAATCCTCAGCTGATGATAACCCGATCTCAAATCAATCTTTGAAAACACCTTTGCAACCTGAAGCTGGTCAAATAGATCATCGATCCTCGGCAGTGGATACTTGTTCTTAGTCGTCACCTTGTTCAACTGCCGGTAATCAATGCACATTCTCATGGAACCATCCTTCTTCACAAATAACACTGGTGCGCCCCACGGCGAAACACTGGGTCTAATGAAACCCTTTTCGAGCAAGTCCTGAAGCTGATCTTTTAACACTTTCAACTCTGGCGGCGCCATGCGATACGGAGGAATAGAAATGGGTTGAGTGCCCGGTGCCAGATCAATACAGAAATCAATATCCCTGTCGGGCGGCATGCCTGGTAGATCAGAAGGGAAGACCTCAGGGAACTCCCGAACAATAGGAACAGAATCAATAGATGGGACCTCAGCGCTGGAGTCGCGAACATAGGCCAGATAAGCTAGACACCCCTTCTCGACCATGCGTCGATCCTTCACATATGAAATAACGCTGCGAGTGGTATGACCGGGGGTCCCTCTCCACTCTAATCGCGGCATATCTGGCAATGCCAAGGTCACGGTCTGGGCATGACAATCCAAGATCGCATGATAAGGGGACAACCAATCCATCCCTAAAATGACGTCGAAATCCACCATATCCAATAGCAACAAGTCGACACGGGTCTCAAGACCCCTGAATACCACAACACAAGAGCGATGAACCTGATGCACTTCTATAGAATCCCCCACTGGTGTAGACACATGAACAGGAATACCCAAAGCCTCACTAGGCATAACACAATAAGGTGCAAAATATGACGACACATATGAATACGTGGATCCAGGATCAAATAACACAAAAGCATCTCTATCGCAGACCAGAATAGTACCTGTGATCACAACATCTGACGCCTCAGCCTCTGGCCTGGCTGGCAAAGCATAACAACGGGGCTGGGCCCCACCTCCCTAAACCATCTCCCTAGGATAATCCACTGTTGGCTGACCCCTACCTCTGGCGGTCTGAGCTCCACCTCTAGGACCTCTGCCTCCACCTCTATGTCCCATACCCCCGCCTCTAGCTGGCTGGGTAGGCTGTAGGGTAGGTGGTGCCTGAATCATGGGACGGGGTCCCTGCTGCTGTGATCTACCCGAAGCATGGGGACGGAATCTGATAATGTGGCCTGGATCACCACAACCATGACAAACCCTCGGCTGCTGGGACTGCTGAACCTGCCGACCTGAATGTCCTCCCGGAAACTCTGAAGTGGCGGGGCACTAATAGGTACTGATGACGAACTGAAGAACTGCTGATCAAAACACTGTGGCTGAGCACCACAACCACCTGGAGCACCATGAGAAGCCTGGAGAGCTGACTGATAAGGCCTCGGAGGCTGGCCCCTACCATAAGACTCCCTACCTCCAGACGAGGTACCACTGAATTGACCAGAATGACGGGGTCTCTTATCAGACCCATGACCACCACCATATGCAAGTGCCATCTCTATGCGGTGAGGACCATCTTCCGCCTCCTGGAATGATATCTCACTACTGGCACTCATGGCCATCTGAACCCTGATCGGCTGGATCAATCCATCCACAAATCTTCTAACTCTCTCACCCTCAGTAGGGAGTATCAAAATAGCATGACGTGCAAGATCCACAAACCGCGTCTCATACTGAGTAACTGTCACAGATCCCTGCTGAAGACGCTCGAACTGCCTGCGAAGGGCATCCCTCTGAGTAGCAGGGAGAAACTTTCCCAGAAATGGCTCCGAAAACTGATCCCAAGTCAAGGCTGGTGGCCCAGCTGGTCTAGCTAAGCAGAAGTCACTCCACCAAGTCTTGGCGGATCCGGCCAGGCAAAAAGTAGCAAAATCGCCCCATTGGTCTCCAAAATGCCCATGGTCCGTAGAACCTCATGACAACCGAACAAGAAATTCTGAGCATCCTATGAAGGCGTACCACTGTAGGTGAGAGTAAAGAGCCTGGTGAAACGGTCAAGCCTCCACAAAGCATCTGCGGACATAGCCGCACTATCACTAGACTGGCCCGCAACAACTGGCTGGGCTGCTGCAACAGGCTGAGCTGGCATAACTGGCGGAACTGGCATAGCTGACTGAACTGGCTCAGCTGGCTGAATTGTGGGAACCTGAATCTGGGGAGCCACCTGCTCTGGAGTACGGGTCACAGGAGTCTGAACTCCTCCCCCGACCTGAGATGTGGCTGGAGCTACGGGAAGCAGACCCGCTCTAGAAATGCCCTCAATGAAGCCTACCAGTCGGACCAAGGCGTCTTACAGCACTGGAGTGGCTATAAAGCCCTCTGAGACCTGAGCTGGGCCCACGAGAGCTACTGGAGCTGGAACCTCATCATCATCATAGTCTATATGAGGCTCCACCTCGGGGACTGCTGCTCGGGGCTGAGCTCTGCCCCAGCCTCGGCCTCTAGCACGGCCTCGGCCTCACCCTCTGTCCCTGATAGTAGCTGCTGCTAGGGGCTCGGGCTGCTGCGCGGTAAAAGAGGAAGCTCGAGTTCTCGCCATCTGCGAAAGAACGGAGTAGAACGACAATCATTATTTGAGAAACAGAATCGCACGACAAGAATGAACAAAGTGAAATTTTCCTAACTCTGTAGCCTCTAGGGGATAAATACAGATATCTCTGTACTGATCCCTCAGACTCTACCGAGTTTATCCGTGAGTTGTGAGACCCAAGTAACCTAGTGCTCTGATACCAACTTGTCACGACCCGGATTTCCCATCATCGGGAGTCGTGATGGCACCTACTGTCGGAGCTAGGCAAGCCAACTTAGCATGAATAACAACTTTTAATTAAACAGAATGATAATAAAGGTAGTAGAAATAAATACGGAAGTCTCAATATAATTAATTAATAAAACCAAATGCGAAAAGGAACCAACTACAAGCTTCTACCCCAAAAATGGTGTCACAGTACTCACGGACTTCTACGAATACTACAAATAAGAGTCTGAAAGAAGAAAATACATAAAATATTTGTCTGATACAATAGAACTAACAACAATATTAGGAAGAGACTAAGGGCCACGGACCCCAGCAAGCTACCTAGTAGTCTCTGGACTGAAGGCGTACTCCCGAACTACTGCTGCTGCGGACCGAAGGCTGCTCCCGGATCTGTGCACAAAAAGGCACAGAAGAGTAGTATCAGCACAATCGATCCCATGTGCTGGTAAGTGCCTGGCCTAACCCCCGCGAAGTAGTGACGAGGCTAGATAGGACCTACTTCTAAATAAACCTGTACAAATACAATTCTATACGTACTAGCAAAAATAAACAGGATATAAACAGTTAAATGGGAGGGGACATGATAAAGGGTGACACAGTTCATCATATAGAGATAATCAGGGAAGAAATAACACGGAGCAACAATATTAAGCAAAAGAATCAGGAATATCATCTACAGCATGAAAACAATTACTTTTACTTTCAATCTTTCCAAAAATAATCAAACAAATGCATGGCAACACCCATCGTGCTTTCATCCTTCCATACTCTCATATCATGGCATGGTAGGACCCGTCGTGCTTAATCATTTCAAAAACATGGCACGGAAGGACCCATCGTGCATAAACACTCTCCCTCGCTAAATCATGAAAACACAACCAATTCAGGACAGGGGAAAGAGTATAGAGAGTATTAATTGTCCCGACAAGGGATAAGATCATAATTACATCACCTTTAAACCTCTTCCATCAAACCAAACCAAGTCGAGCCAATGCTACCAAACTATACATATTACTATTTATCCTCAACCGTACATATCATGTAAATCATATTTATCAAGTCAAGAATTCATGAGATACAATTCAAACTAGAACAAATAAAGACTCACGGTCATGCTAGACTCAGCTGCATAGATAACCGTCACCATGCCTATACACCGACTCCACGTAGCACATAGCTATTAATATCCTAATCCTATTCCCTCAAGCCAAGCTTAGATCAAACACTTACCTCGATGCCGAAATTTAGCAATCAAGCCTCTAACACCGCTTTTCCTCTAGAATCCGATTCCCAAACAACGATATCTAATCATAAATTACCCAAATAAATCAACAAATGCTAGTTAAACTAATTTGAATGCATAAGAATGAATTTCCCAAAGTTTTACCCAAAAATTCCCAAAACGGCCCCCGGCCCACGTGGTCAAAACCCGAGGTTGGAACCAAAACCGAGTTACCCATCCCCCCACGAGTTCATAACTATGATTAGATTTGAAATCGGACATCAAAACGAGGTCCAAAGCCAAAAATTATTGAAAAACCTAAATTCGACCCAAATCCCCATTTTTACCCATGAAAGCTTTGATTTAAAGATGAAATCATGATAGAAGATGATAAGGATTAAAGAAAACCAGTAAAAATTGACTTACAATTGGTTTGGGGACGAAGGGGTTCGAGAGAAATCGCCAATGGAGGTTTTGGGTTTTGAAAATATGAAAAGTGAAGTTTAAAATCGGTTAAGCATAAAATACACAGACGCAGGTTTCGCAATTGCGAGAAAGAGTTTGCAATTGCAATCTGGGCAGAATAAAAGGGAATCTCGCATTTGCAAGAAAGTGTTCGCAAATGCGAACTAGGCAGGAAAATGAGGGAACTCACATTTGCAAGAATAGGTTCGCAAATGCGAACTAAGCTGGACAATGGGAATCTCGCATTTGCGAGAAATGGTCCGCAAATGCGAACACAGGCAAAGTTTAGGGACATCGCAATTGCGATAGAGGTCTTCGCAATTGCGAAGACGGGCTGGTAAGGAGACCATCACATTTGCGATCTCTTGCTTCGCATTTGCGAACTGGGCAGACAAAAGGGGAATCTTGCATTTGCGAAGCCTGCAGCCCAGGCATACCAGCAGACCAACATGCAACAAAAATGAACTCGCGGCCTATCCAAATCTCCTCCGAGCCCTCGGGGCTCCAACCCAAACATGCACACAACCTCAAAAAATCCTACGAACTCAGTCGTGCGATCAAATCGCCAAAATAACATCATTTACATAGAATTAAGCCTCAAAACCATAATTTCACTCATTTTCTCATAAAATTACCTATTTTCCATTTTCAAGTCCGAAACACGTCCAATGACGTCCGATTCCAACCAAACTTCACAAATAACGCTTAACATATATTTAAGACTTGTACCGGGCGTCGAAACCAAAATACGAGCCCGATACCATTGCTTTTTGATCAAATACCATTTTCATTTTCCTTAAACATTTTCAAAAATTAATTTTACAGAAAAATTCTTTTCTCGGGCCTGGGACCTCAGATTTCAATTTTGGGAATACGCCCGAGTCCCATATTTTTCTACGGACCCTCCGAAGCCGTCGGATTATGGGTCCAAGTCCGGTTACCCAAAATGTTGACCAAAGTCAACCATATAAATATTATATTCAAAATTCATCAATTTAAATACATATTTCAAGTTTTCTCAACATAAAATTTTCCGGCTTTGCGCTCGGACTGCACACGTAAATCAAGGCAACTACACAAGAGGTTTTCAAGGCTTCAGGAGTACGGAGCAAGGGAGAATTATAGTGATGACCCTTTGGGTCGTCACATAGCTGGTTACGAAAAATGGGCTAGGTTGTATGCACCTGTTAATGGGGGATGGACAATGACGTCAAATATCGCTGAGTCAATCAATGCAGCACTAGTTTCAGCAAGGGAATTGCCAATATATGACTTCCTTGAAGAAGTTAGGAAGATGTTTGGTCGTTGGAATTGTAGTAACCGTAAAGAAGCTACTCAGACATACAAGACGCTTGGGAAAAAATACCAGGAAATGCTGGAGTTGAATGAGACCATGTGTACCCGTATGACTGTAAGTTAATTTTTATGAATATTTGCTTAAACTCGTAAATAACATAGATGAATACAGGTAAATACATGTGATTATTAAGACTGTATGGATGTGATAATGATTACAAAGGAATTCAGGTGATTAATACAGTTTAAATTGATTGTATATACCTGAAAATAGTTGCTCAAAAAAGGTTGAATACAAATGCATAAAAATGCATACTGTAGATCAATACACAGTAATACAGTTGAATACAGTTGCATACAGTTGCTGGAAACAGCTGAATTTAACTAAAATTGGATGAAGTTGCAATTTTCGAAGTTGATAGTGACCATTTAACTCAGCAGTATATATTCGTTAATTCAGGTAAATGTGTTCAAAACTTATATTTCTGTTTTAAATGTAGGTGGTACCCTCAACTGAATACTTACATACTGTTAACGATAGTGTGAGGAATTACACAGTCTGCCTGCTCGAGAGAAAATGTGTTTGTGAGAGGTTCCAAATTGATGAATTGCCATGCCCACATGCCTGGGCTGTATTGAATAGCAAGTTTTTAATACCTGAAAAATATTGCTCTAGCTATTACAAGCCAAGTACAATTGTAATGACATATGATGTGCCAGTGTACCCGCTACCTGACAAAAATGACTGGAATATACCAGAGCATGTTGCAGAGGAGGTTGTACTACCACCCAAATGGAAAAGACCTCCTGGAAGGCCAAAGAAGAAGCGCGACAAAACTTTAAGTGAATTGCTGTTGCCGAAAAATCAACATTCATGTAGCATATGTCGGCAGGGAGGACATAATAAGCGAACTTGTAGGAATGCTCCACGTAATAAATAGTTGTATTCTGACATGTATTGGTGATTC